ATGTGAGAGAAAGCTGACTCCAGAACTCTCCATCCATGTGACTTGTTGCTCTGGATTTGATCCCAACATCATTTTGCAGAGTCAAAACCTCATTTATTAACACCGGAGCAGTCCAGCTGAAACACGAATTTGGACACATCCATCCATCCTGGTGGACAGCTGCACGTCTTTATAGCAGCCACTTTTATTTTTAAATCATGGAAAAGCACGTCTGCAGCATCAAACACTTCTTTCATAAATTCATCATCACTGAAAGATGTTTTCCGCAGTGTTTTTTTGTGTTRAGGCAGGTACRGGGCTGCATTAGCAGCCTGACCTTTGCTTAGGAGGGGAAATCCATCTCATAGCGTTTGTGCATTGTTTTGAAAGAAATGCAGTTCCACGTTATCCTTTTTGGACAAGCCAAGGCAGCGCTCGAATTACATGAGTCCTCTTCCCACTCCAGGTGAAAATAATAAGTTTTATTTGCTTGTTAGCTGTCTTTCGTTCATTTTTTCCCCCGCCTCGCTGCTTTGTTGTGAACACCTGACCCTAAAGTCTCGCGAGACCATGTTCGGAGTGCTGTTTCACCGCACCCAAAACTCGCGAGACGACGTCTGTGAGAGGAGCTGAAGAGCCGGCTCGTCAGCTGTGCTGGGGAGGGCGGAGGGAGCGTGTTCAAGGCTGGAATGTAAACTCCTCCCACCTCCACCGCTTYTGCTGGAGAGCTCAGCGAGCGGACGAGAGTCCCGGGCGGAGCGTAACATTACTCTCAGCTGACCAGCCAGCTCTCAGCTGTTAGAGGAAGGTTGCGCTCCGTGAGCTACTGGGAACCAGCTAACAAGCTACCGGTCGATCGCAATCGACTGGTTGAGCACCCCTGTTGTATGCACTTGTGTGAATATCTGAAGAGTGAGTCCAAAGAATCCAGTCCCCAAAAAATAAAACCCGTGGTTCAGCCATTGTCCACAATATTGGTGTTGAATTTTTCATTCTTGTAAGAACTACCCTATGAAACTAGGACCAGCCCAATCTCACAAAATAATCCCTTTCTCAAGATCTTTGCATTATGAAATCTCAGACACTGATGAGAACAACTCTGATCATGAATTAGAAATGAAAACTTGTGACCTGAACAGATTTCTCAAAATAAAGTAATTTATTTTAGATATATGAACAGGATTAAACACACAAACATTTATTAAAAAATATTATATGAATAAATGAACACAAGTTATATTTTCGACATAAAAATTACACCTCAGAGTTGTCACAAACAGTAAATTTCAGGTGTTG